CCCAAAACAGATGATCAAGACGATCTTTTGTCTGAATTTCTACATGTTTGTCCTTCGTCTATAAATGATGTGACGGTCCATGAAGAGACTGCATTGCACATTGCTGTGAAAAGCTCTAGTCTTAAAGCTGTTAAAGTCCTCTTGGAATGGCTTGAAAAACCTATAGGGTGAGGTGCTGTGCTTGACAGACGAAGGAGGCAACACCGCGCTGCATACTGCGGTCTCCACTTCACAACCTGAGGCAGGCTTCTATCTATTCTTTGGTTCCATAAATATTGTAGTAGTTGATAGATTGTTAGCTTCAAATTCAATGGTCGGTGATAACTATTGGCGTATATATAAAAAAATATATCATATATAAAAGTGTATGGAATATATGAAATGTATTATTGTAATTCTAACCTTTTTGATATTATTTGATCTTTAACGAATTGCTGCCAATGAGCAACTCCCAATATAAAAATATTGATTTGTACGTTTTTCGTTTACGCAGATTGTGAAGTTATTAGTGAAAGAGATCTACACGGACAAAAAGGCTGCTCTTGGCATTGCAGAAACACTTCCCGACGTCAGGCCAAAACTGAAATCAAGGAAACTTTACGCCGTGCAGGAGCTTTAAAAAGATCATCTGTAGTTAGTGACCTTGGAGAATTTTTGAAATCACCGCGTCAATGGTTCCAAGCTCTAATCGGACGAATCATTCAGGAGCAGAGAGAAATGTCACTTGAAATGCGAAACACGATACTTGTCGTAGCTGTTCTGATCGCAACATCTACATTCCAAGCAGTACTTCAACCTCCAGGCGGAGTAATGCGCGGTAACTATGAACCTTCTCCTCCTTCCAACACCACTGGTAACATTAACGGCACCATCACCACCACCAATTTTATTTCTACTAACATCACACATTTTAACGCCACCATATTCAACAACAACAACAACACCACGCTGACGCCAATCCCGACAATCCTGCTGAAATCAAGTTAACGAGATCTATGACTTTCGGATCCTTTTTCATTGATTTTTTTACCCTGAACACGGTATGCTTTCTTGCCTCGATCACCGCAATGATATTTTTGCTTCCCTTGCGACTCTCTAGTTTCATGTTGCACATTTCTATGTTATTTCTGATAGTGAGCTATGGGATAGCGTTTTATGGCATATCTCCAACTTATTCGTATGCCAACAGTTTTTTCCGTGCATCCTATATTGCTTTTCCTTGTGCTTATAGCGTGTGGATAACGATTTCCATAATCTCTCTTTTTCCAAAAATTCGACAATATCGTTTCGTGCCACATAAACTGTGGAAGCGCCTCCAGGAGCTACGCAATTTGTATAAAGAGTCCGTTGACATGTCATCGAAAATTCCAGTTCAGCACAGCCAAATATGACATCTGTCTTATTAATTAACCTCTTAACTTTTGTGAAGTCTTCAAGATTCTTTTTGGGAGGTTTCTGTGTGTTTTTGGTTTTGAGGACATAAGCTTGCCTTCATTTTCTCTGTTGTGGTCTTGATTTGAGCCAGATGGTTTTACAGATTTCTGTGGGGGAGTTTAAGCCACTTGTTTTGTTTAGCTCTCTACTTTGCTGCATTGTATTTGGCTTGTCTTATTGATGTTTCTCTTCATGTTACTCTCTTTGTATTCTATTAAAGTTTCAAAAATGATTTAGACCTCTAAAAGAAGAGCTCTAATAGAGCACTAATTTGTCTTTTTCTACCATCTTTTTTGTCTTTTACTTCACTGTTTTTTTTTTTTTTTTTTTTTTGGTTGACAGCTCATTTTTTTTTTTTTTTATATTGGTTGACAGCTCATTAGAGCTGTCATTTTCCAGCTCTAATTAGAGCTCCGGAGCATCACCCTTAAAGTTTTCCTTTGCTGATAAAAGAACTAATGCAAATTATGTGTAAACACAATATAAACAATACCAAACTTGTGGGCCCAATGTATTTTCTCTAAAAACTCAAGAGGGAGGTCAGTGTAGTTTACCAAAACAAGAAAAAATTTATTTGCTCCTCCTACCTCAATCCAATATGAATTGTTACCTTCCAAATAACAATTGCCTTTCTTGGTTGTGAATGTACCTTAATGTTGTATTTGGTTGAAAGATTTATGAAGGAATTCGGAAAGGTAAAAGAAAAAAATTATATGAAGCTATGTAAAATGTAAATATATTTTATATTTACATTTTAGCTACCTTTTCCTTTCTATTTTCAAATCCCTAACCAAATATAACATAACTGACTTGCCAACGTTTTTCGCCACTTTTGTTTGTTTTGTTGGTATAATTGTTGTATTTTAAGGGAAACAGAAGTTTTTTTTTTTTTTTGAATTGTTGGGCAACTTAAAGTGCACCAGTAGAAGAGTTACACACCACTGTGTAAACTTTTCCATATAAGAGCATCTCCAATGCACTAGGCATATAATACTTGTTAGTTAAAATACCTAGTATGATTCACTTTTTTCAATTCCAATGCACTAGGCATATGATTAGGCATTTTGGCTCAACTCATTTTCACTAGCTACATGTAGCTAGCCTTCAACGCTAGGCAAAATGTATTCAATCATTAGGATCATTTCCCTCCATCTTTGTTGTTGACGTGAAATTTTATAAAATTAATAGTATTTGGATAAATAGCTAAAATAAAGAGCATGGTTGGAGTAAAAACATAAAACAGTTGATAGGCAAAATAAAATATATACTTTATAGTAATATTCAGATAGGTAAAATGCCTACTACCGTTGGAGATGCTCTAAGCAATCGATACATGTATCAGTTTTCGTAGAAGATTGAAAGGGTTACAGTTACTGATGTATCTCCCCTAATCTTAGATTGGAATTTTTTTCTAAGATCTAAACCCTCCTAATAAGTATAAATGCTTCATTTCTTTCACTTTTGATATAGAAACAAATTTCCAATTCACTTCAATTTTAACCATTTTAGCATGGAATTGATTTTCCAAACCAAATGAATAAATCAGAAACTCTGAAACACATTCAAAATTCAGAACCCTTGCATTGCAAAACCTTAACTTTGAAAAATTCCATTATACATTATTCTACTTAACTAATCAACTCAAAAAAAAAAAAAAAAAAAAAAAACCCCTTCTTATCTCAGTAGTCAAAACCCTCCACTCCCCCTATCTCAGCATTTTCCCATCAAAAATTTCATATACACAGAAACATATATATATATATATATATATATTGCAAACCCTAGATAAGAAAGGAAGAAGGTTGGGAACAATTTTTTTTATTTTTTTTTTGGTTAAAATAGTTCAAATAAGTTAAAAGAATCAGGAAAAAAAATAAAATGTTATATCTTATATACCAATTAATTATTTTTTTTTATAACCATCTATTCAACTAAAAGAAATTTACAAATTATTTTAAATACAATTTTTTTTCATTTAATGAAATAATTAAAAAAAAATAACCAAAGTAGACGAGACCGCAAATGGAATGAGAGCCTCAACGATACATGTGGCGATTTCCATAGCTGCTCTGTAGAGAGAGAGAGAGAGAGAGAGAGAGATCTAGAGTGCTTTGAAAGCATTGGTGGGCCGGGCGTTGTCTTGATTGGGCTTGACAAGTTGAGTTGGAAGAGTGGACAATAGCTATTATTGAACTGGAAGCGGCCCATTAGTACTAGGCCCATTGTAGCAACATTAATTGGATTATCCTGAAATTATTCCCCATGTTTCAAAAATTCTTCAATGTTGTATTCCTTTCTTTTTTTTCTTTTTAGGTACATTAATGCATCACTTTTCCTTCTTTCCTTTTATTTTCTCTCTGTTTTTTTATTTATTTATTTATAATTTTTAAATTTTTTAGTTTCTTATACTCTTTTTGACAGCCAATATATAATCTTGGTGTGGATGATATTAGTTTGCTATAAATTGTATATACAAATTGACATGAGTACAATAATAGTAAATCAAATTTTCATATCAAATTTGTGGGAAAAAAAAAATCACTCTGTCGCTTCAAACTAACAAACTTGTGTCGTTTTACCCCTGAGCCATTAATTTGAACAATTATTCGC